ATTGGTTTGGGTAACTGCTATACAACTCCAAAAGCTAATTTTAAATATTTTGCAAAATAGTAAGGTCTAATTAATAAAACTTGGCAATCGTGTGTCCAATTATAGGACAGATCGCTTTCATCTAGCTTAAAAAATAACAAAACTCTATACGAAATGTAATTTGATCATAAACCCAAAATTGATCAGTTAAGAACATTTGCAAATAAAATTGTCGCATTATATAAAGGTCCCAAAAGATCTAAATTGGAGTCCAAAGGTGATGAGTAGACTTTTGTTGGATATTGTCCTGAATCCGGTGCGTACAGATTGTGGGATGGCCACAAGCAAATTATAAAACAAAGACACGTAAAATTTTTTGAAAAAGTCGATTTAAATAATTATTTATTTTTAGATATAGTTTCTGTAAATAATGGTAATTCGGTTGGAAGTTATGATGCAAGTGCTAGTACAAAAAATGGTTTAGAAATGATTGATGATATACATACATTTTGAAAATTTAAATGAGTCTTTTCACAATTTTGAAGCAAAATGAGACGAATCATATAATGATGCTGAAGAAAGTTTAGAAGAATTATTTTATGGCTTTGAAATTGAAAAAGAAATAAAAGAGTATCGCAAAATTGAAAAACAAGGTAGGCCCAAAATAGAAAGGTCAGGGCGAAAAGCCAGACCAAAGATTATTAAACACGAGCAATCTAATTTAACAATGTTAAGCAATCCAACATCGTTTGAAGAAGCGATAAATAGTTCTCTTAAATTAATTTGGTTAGGGAAACAGAATTAAAATCTTTGAATCAAAATGAAACACTTGGATCATAGTAGATCGTCCAAAATCAGCAAAAATATTGTCCAACAGATGGGTTTTCAATACTAAAATTGGTGAAGTTGGTTTAAAATACAAGGCAAGACTTGTGGTTTGAGCTGTGTGCAAGAAACTTGCGTAGACTTTGATGAAATTTATGTACCAATTGCGAGATATGATACCTTGAGATTGCTGTTTAGTTTATGTGCTGAATATGAATTGTTATTACATCAAATGGATTTTGTATCAGCTTTTGTTTAGGACAATTTACAAGATGTTATATACATGGAACAATCTAAAAAACCTTTTATTTGAAGCAAAATCGAAATTATTAAATAAATTTCACATGACAGATCTTGGAAAGGTTAAAAATTGTTTAGGTTTTAACATGAAAAGGGATTAACCCACCGGTAGTATTGAAATAGATCAATAAAAATATATCGAAGAAATGTTAAATAAATTTAATATGTCTGAAGCAAATGCTGTTTGTACACTTCTGGAAATAAATTCGAAATTATTTTACAATAGCTAAACTATTTCTGACGAAGAAAAAAGAGATATGTTACATCCAGATATATGTTTCAGCGTAAATTTTCTTGCCGATTTACAGATCTAGCAAGAAAAATACATTGGGAATCAGCTAAACGAATATTAAAATATCTAATTGGAACAAAGCATTATAAAATAAAAAAGCTCCTGCTTTATAGTTGCTTAAAAATTTAAAAACTTATAGTGATGCAGACTGAGAAATCAATATGTTGGAAATCAAGAAAACAAAAATCTACGGCATTGTCTACCATGGAAGCTGAATACATGGCTCTTTCAGAAGTTGTAAAAGAAGTAATTTTTTTGCGTAATTCATCAAAAGAGCTAAAATTTGAAGAATACATAAATAAATAAATAAGAAAAATAAAAAATAATTAACATAAATTAAATTTTTAAAATTTTTTATTAAATGTAAATGTATTTGGTATTAAATAATAACTTTAAAAAAAATTTTGAATTGAAAATATAAAGTTTAAATTAGAATATGTTCAAAATGAAAGTATTGTTTCTCTTGAATTTTGAAAGATATTTAGATGTATAAAAATCATTGATAGGGAGGAATATTAGAATTATAATTTGACCCACTCTAATTAGTTATCGATGCTCTTTATACAAGTTAATGTCATTGTGAATATATATATATTATAATAATAGGTATGATCACACAATATATTTATGTATTTGTAATAATATCAGTTATAATTTTATATGTAATTGCTTCACAGTTACTTTACTTCTTTATAATGTTAATTTAGTCTCATAGAAAACTTTGTACTTTAAAGAACATAATAAATTATATAAAATTCTAACACATATTTATATGATGCTCATAGAGGAAAGTGTGTGACGTATTAACATAGGTTTTTTGTTACTCGAAGAAAGTCATTAACAAGGAAAGAAAAATAGTTAAAATATTCAAAGACAGCTTTAAGCAACATTGAATATATTTGCAACAAAATTTAATAGCCACATGTTCCAAACTATGATATAAATTTAACATAAATTATTCTTTATAAACAAATAATTTATATACAAACAACAGTTGTATGCTTTTGAAGCGTATCTACACTCATACATCATGTAGAATGTTTGTTGAAAACAAATATTACATGTATTCTATTCTCTACACCAAAACACTTGGACTTTAATTTTTCTTGGATTTTTAAAAAAAAAAGAAAACGGTTTTTGCCAGAGAAAAACAAAAATCTGATTTAACACTTTGTTGACTGACGCTACTCTCAAGCATCACCAACCTTAAATCGTTTAAAAATTGTAAATATACATTAAATTTCAATTTAAAGCTATTGATGCTTAAAAGTATTTCATTTTCTCGGAAATTGGATCGGGTTTGTTTTGTGTCATTAAATTTTGGCAGTCGTGTCGTGAGTTTAATAATAACCGGTCAGTGTTGCAAAACGAGAAAGAAAGTCCAAGTTCGTTTTGTTAATTTTTTGTTTTCGTTTTATGTATTTTGTTTTTATTATTTTTAAGAAAAAATAAAAAAAATTGATTTACAAATAAAAAATATACTTTCACTTACTTTTGATTATAGTCGTAGGAAACTTAATGATACTTATAAGTATCGGGTCTCTAAACTCAGACTCAACAACCAAATCCAAAAAACTTTTTGTTTTTTAAGAAACTATAACTTCCATTTATTAAAAAGAAACAATTTAGCAACAGATTTCGTCTATTTCTAATTTCCAGCAATATTTTGAATTTGGCGTTTATCACCTATTTATAAAGTTTTTAAAAGTTTTTTCAACTTTTCGTCGGGTTTATTTTTTTTATGAGAATTCTTTTCTTTTTGCGAGATATTACGTCATTGTTTTTCTTTTTAAAGTTTTTTCAAGTTTTATACCTGACAGACTTAATTTTACTTTGGAAAATCTAAACAGCTCTAACCATTGAGAAAACGATTGCATCATTATTTTCTCTAAATTTTTCTTCAAAAGAAAATTATAATATAATAAGTTAAACATTTTTTTTTAAGTTTTATAAAGTTTTTAAAAACCTTCTTATATCAGGCAGACCTATTTGAAATAAATAGTCTAAATTTTTCATAACTCGAGTATTTCCGCATTATAAAAGCAAATATTTCATATACAAAATAATTGCCGAGATTTTTGTTCAACATTAAATCCCAGAAAATTTACACCCATATTCTGTTAGGGGCGTCACTGAAATCATAAAATAATCTATCACATTGCGTTAACTCAATAATGATATTCTGAGTGTCGTATCACTAAATGATTGTCATATTTATCGTAAAAAATCTAATATTATTATAGTAAACACAAATCAATTCATACAAATTGTTCGTGTCTATGAATAGATGGTGATATTTAGCGTAAAAAATCCGATATTATTATAGTAAACACAAATCAATCTATACAAATAATTCGTTAATATATAAATTATTCACACAGTAAGATTTTTGAAGCTTTTTCGATATCATTTAGTGACTCGATACTTGGAATAAGCCTCAATATGTCTTTCAGGTTCTCGCATACGTAAAAGCGATAAAAATTTTTTTTAAGTCATAGCACTAACAGTTGACGCGATGTCACAAAAAAATTTAAAATAGAGTTACGTAAAAATATTTTGCTTAAGTACATGTATAAAAAATATGTTTTTCGGTTAAATTTAAACCAAACGAAAGTTGGCAGTTTAATGGAAGTAATTTTGTAAAATAATGAGAACTTATTAAAGTATTGTAATTTATGTACATATGTACGTACATATTCAAATACATAATACAAAACAGCGTAAAGTTTTTTAGATTTTTGAAGTATTTCGGAGTTTCGAAGAAAGGCTATAAAATATTTCTTGAGAAAATTGATAGCAAAAACTTTACATTTCTTTTAATAGTCGGAAAAACCTTTAGATTTGAATTTATCTCTCACAAATTGCCAGTAGTTTTATTAGGAGCACAATTGCTTCGAATTTATTATGCTTTTTGTACAGGAAAATTTTCAATATTAAAATTAATAGAACCAAAAGATGTTAGCATCGCATGAAAAGTTTTAAAGAAATAGCACACGCAGTGATTTTGAAATTCACCTGACGCCAAAGTTGGTACCACTACAATGTCTACTAGAGTAGAACTTTGATGTGATGGTATCATTTCATGAGACATCTGTGTTAATCTAATCAATATTAAAAGTCGTACCCACCACTTTTTACTTTTTTTTAATCAACAAATCAAAAAATTTGAAAAGTTTCACAAACAAAAAAATGGACTTTTCTAAAAATTTAAAGTAAAAGTTGTTATTGCAATAGGAGTCAGATATAAACATATGTATGTATGTATTACATTTTATTATGTACATATTTGATTAATTTACAACTAGGGTTGATTTTTGAAATAGTCATCTAAGCCGTTTCATTTTAAGGTAATCGAAAACCTTGTTCTTGAAATATTTATTTACCTTGTTCTACTTAATAAAAAATTTCATAAAAAATATTTCGCAACATTATGGTATTGATTGGATACATTGTCAATATCTATTGTTAACATTCTTTTTTAATATTTGTAAAACAAACTGGACACAAGAATTTCGCCTTGATATAAAAAGGATATTTTACATCAATTCTATTTAGTAGTGCAAAATAATTCTTGTATAAAGCAGTTCTTCTTTACAAGGAAAATTTTCAAGATAAATATTTTTAAATTAGCAAATTATTATAATAACTTAATAATATACTTAACTACAAATATAAATTATTATACATATAAATTATTTTAATTTATATTTAAAAAAATAAACGACATTAAATTAAAAAAATAGTTGTGCAATTTTATAACTCAATTTATTGTTACGTAAGTTAAAGCAACAATTTTTGAAAAATTTTTTATATCAAATAAAATAATTCATAAATAATTTTTTGATATGCATGTATGTGCACGTTCTAAATTACATAGAACAATAGTAGATTTATATTATATTTTAAACGAAGTTTTTTTTTGAATTGAAACGAACGTAATCTTAGATAAATATAAAGTGTACAAAATATTCAAGAAAAAAGTTGAAAAACATCTGTTGCAATATTTAATTTATTTTTATTGGTAATTTTAACCAAATGATTTTTTACAAAATAAAATTAGATTACATGATGTTTTAAAAATTCTTTAGTGAAAACTTGAGAAGAATTGAAGCACTTTAAACTTTAGGGGAGAAAAGTTGTATTCATAATAGCATAATTAATAATTGTAGATGACGAAATATTTATTTATTTTCCAGACTTTATGGTGTCAATCAGCATCATAATGTACAATTTACTTGAATAAGTATGTACATAATTATACGAATCATTATAACGAAAAGTTGGAAAATATATATCATATATATGTATGTATGAAAAATATTATATGCGTGAGCACGTATGCATATACATTCATACAATGGTACACAAACATATATTATCTCCAAATGTTTTCAAGAAGTATACACTTTTTATGATTACGTACATATGTAAAACATATTGTGCGTCATTGGTAGAAGAAATTCTATTTAAATAAAAAATTTGTTTAACAAATTGATATTATAAATAAGGAGAATAGGTAAATATGACCGTGTCAGCTTTGTGATTCCCGTACGAATTAATGATTTTAAGTGCTATATGTTAATTTGCACACTATTCCATACATACTCCCGGTATACTGTACCACATACACTTATCCTATTTAAAAGAAATTTTATTGAAAATAATGGATATATTACAATATTCGTTTATGAAAAATTTCAGTACGGAGATTTCAAAAGTTTGCATAACATAAAGGTCAAATAAGTTTCGAAATTATATGTCAACTATCAATACAAGTCAAGAAATTTCAATTAGTTTTACTTTTTATTATAAAAAAGCTTGGGCAAGTAAAAATTTCGTGAAAATTCGATTCCCTGTATCTGTTGATACAGGGAAACTATTGACAAGTAGTTTCAAACAGGGAGTTTTGACAAGTAGTTCCAAACAAAAATTTTACCCATTTTTGATGCCCTAAATAATGATATATAAATTTGTACTCTTTACTGAATCACCCTGTATAAAATAAACATAATGCATTATTCAAATATTTTGTTAGAAAAAGTTGAAATTCAATCTTTTTCTATTCAAAAATATTTCAAATATATTTCAAATATTTTTGAAAACAGTAAAACTAACACGTTGAGCTTCATGACTATAGAAAATGTAAAAAAATAGCTCTAACCCATTAGCAAATCTAAAAGGCTTCGTACAGTCCGTACTCACCTGCGAGCGACTTATCACAGGTGTAATCCTGTAATTTAGAGAAACTAAGTATATGTTTAAGTAAAAGAGCTACATATATAAAATTTTTAACCTTTTTTTCCGTAGAAATTAAATTTGTCTCTGCGTTACATATATTTGCGTTAGTCAGAATGTTCAGAAAAAAATTCGTATGTTCAGAAATGATTCAACACATATTTTCTTATGTTACCCATTTTTGACATTTGAGATTTGCTCACTGGTATACTTTGATATTCAATATGTTAAAATATAAATGCATGTACATTAGTAATTCATTTAATAAAGGAAGGAAAATTAAAACTTAGTTAAGGCAAAATATAAAAATTACATCCATATCCCCAGGGCTCATTATAGTCAATCAATAAGTAATGATTTGAAATGAACTTGAACTTAAGCTTCAAAACAAAAATACAAAGTTGACCTCTCTATACATTGTCGGTTTGCTCTAGCATCCGTACCAGGAGGTATACATGAGTCACATTTTTTGTATGAATATAGCAGTGCTCTGCGAGAATAAATTCATATTGAAATGAAGCTAAATATACAGATGTCATACACATTTTATTAGGTTCTACATAAAGTTAACATATTAACAAACATAATACATATGTTATAGTACTCTTCGCAAGCATTATGTTGATTTACATAAAAAAGAAAATCTAATACGGTAACATATGACCGCAAGATATTGTCTAGTTCAGTTAAAATTTTGCATAAGACTACGAAAATGCCTCTTAAATACTCCTCACAAAATTTAGGGAGGCTAGTACGCTTTTAGTTAAAATACCTAGAAAAAAATAAATTTAGCTATTATCAAAGGTTCACTTAAATATTTCTTATATACGCCAAAATGTATACTTGTCCCATATTTTTTGTTTTATTTACTTTATACATATTTATATTATGTCAGATGTCTCGATCACCTCGGCTGTAAACGAATTGAACATTAAATATTATATCCATATATACTCATTTACATGTACATAAATATTATTTTTTCTATCATAACGTAATACAAATGCATGTAATTAACGCAAAACTTTCTTGGCTGCTTAAGTTTATGAGTAAAACCAAACATAAACAAACCCTTTTTGTACCCTGCACTCCGTGAAGGGTATATTAACTTTGGTATGGAGTTTGTAACTACTTGAAGGAGTCATCTGCGGTATGGACATTGTTAACATATATATATTCTTGCTCAACGTAAAATTCTGCGTCGATTTAGACATGTCCGTCCGCCCGATCGAACGATAACTCAAAAACAATCGACACCAAACTTTCACAAGTTTTTTCTTTTGTGCCTAGGACCCTATTGTAATTGGACTAATTCGGACAACGGGTTCGGGTAGCTGCCATACAACTCAAAGAGTTTATTTTAAATATTTCAAAAAGTAATAAAGTAATAAAAATAAAATTTGTATACATGTGTCCAATTATATTGTTCGGGTGTCTGCCATCCAACTCCAAAAGCAATTTTTTTACATTCGGAAAAATAATAGAGTCAAATTCATGAAACTTGGCAGTCATGTGCCTAATTATAGGTCAAAAATATTTCTGAAATTAATGGAATTGCTTGACTGGTTCGGGCACCTGCCATCCAACTCCAAAAGCAATTTTTTTATATTCGGAAAAATAATAAAGTCAAATTCATGAAACTTGGCAGTGATGTGTCTAATTATAGGTCAAATATATTTCTGAAATTAATGGAATTGCATGACTGGTTCGGGCACCTGCCATACAACTGCAGAAGCTAATTTTAAATATTTGGAAGAATAATAAAGTCAGGTTCATGAAACTTGACAGTTGTGTGTCGAGTTATAAGTCAGATATATTTCTGAAGTTTTGGTTGAATTGTACTCCCATACAAGTCTAAAAGCTTATTTTAAATATTTGGAAAAATAATATATGATTCATGAGACTTGGCAATTAAGTGTCCAATTATAGGTCAGACATATCCGTTAAGTTTCTATAGAATGGTTTCACAGGTTCGAGTAATTGCTGTACAATAACGAAAGGTGCAGGGTATAATTCAATCGGTTTATACCGACTGAAATGTTTTTACTTGTTTGAGTGTCACTTTGTTTCATATGCGTTAATATGATTCATGCACGAATTCTTTTTCTTTGTTGATTTTATTCAACAAAGCGCTCTACGCTGCGTAACAGGCTTATTAAACTTATGAGAAAATAAACATAACAAACATAAAAAAGCTTTGCAAGAAATCTGTGTACAATTTATAAAAAATAATATACATGCTTAAAATATTGGATTTATTTTTTTTGATTTTTTTCCTTTTCTTTTGCTATTTTATTCTTCCGAAGATAAAGAATATAAGCGAAAATACTCGATGGTTGCGCCATCGGATTTGGCTTGTATAATATAATATATGTATGCAGATTAAAAAATTTGTTTTAAAAACCGTTTAGGCGATATTAATCTTTTTAAAATTTCAATAAATGCTACGTTGTACTACGAGTACAAGTAAAAATTTCATACAAATTATTTTTTCCGATTATTGATTTTGTATTTTTTTACCGACCGTATTGTGTATACAATAGGTATATTTCATACAAATTTTGCATATCGAATTTTCGGTGGGAATTCACTTCTCCATAGCAGGGAAGTGTAAGTAAACCATTTTTAGCAACCTATCGGTCTGTGAGTGCACGCGTGTATCTCAAGTTTGGCTGAACCGATTTTGATGAAATTTTATATGTAAGTTTATTTCCACCATGGCACGGATTGGTCAACTTTTGGGATATATTAGGCCTCGGGAACTGCACTTTTAAGCCGGCCTGTTTTACATTTTTGACCATTTTAAATAAAAAAAATATTCAACCGATTTGCTTGAAATTTCATATATAAGCTTCGCCCGATCGTCAGGCGTCAGCAACTTGACGTTTTCTACGGGCCAAATATACATTTTTGCGTATATAAAGAGAAATAATCAACCGATTTCATTAAAATTTAACATTTTTAAGTTCTTTGTACAAAAACAATTAACATGTAAATTTTTTGGAAAGATCAGGACTCGAAAACTGATCTGAGGGCCGATTTTACATTTTTTATCATACCTACGGAGCGAATTAATGGAATTTATTGAAATTTGATATTTGAGTTCTGGTTGTTACCGAAACTAACTTGCGACCTTTTCTGGGAATTCGGGTAGCACAAAGCGAAATTCTATTAAGAGCCAAATTTACATTTTTCTAGGTATTTTAACTATAAGCTTATTAATGTCCCAAAAATTGGAAAGAAGTATTTAACAGACATTTTTATAATATTCTGTAACATTTTCACTTAACTAGACAATACGCATTACGGTCGGTTATGTGCTGATTTTGGACGAAGTATATGCCACTCAATATAAGTTAATATACTATATCGCTACAAACTTGTCAACATATCCCCATAAAAAATATTGCTATAAACTCATTTTGTTTTCTCATCAACATTATCCATGATATTTTTCGCAACATTTATTTCATGATATAATGTGGGCAACATTGTGCCCAGGAACATTCAGTTTTCATTATCAACGTCCTTGTACGTAAT